GCAGGGCATGCTGGAGCCTATCCCAGTTGTCTTCGGGCAGTAGGCGGGGGACACCCTGAACCGGTTACCGGCCAATCGCAGGGCATACATAGACCAACAACCATTCGTGCTCACAATCACACCTCGGGATAATTTAGAGTGCCCAATCAATCTGCCGTGCATGTTTTTGGAATGTGTGAGGAAACCGGAGTACCCGGAGAAAACCTCCGCAGCCCTGCACCTCTGGACTGTGAGGCCGACATGCTAACAAGTTGCCCACCGTGGTGCCGCCCATATATTGAGAGAGATACATTGTGCTAAACTAATTCAATTCTATATCTGTATATTTTGCAGGCTCCTTTTATTTTGAAAGCAGGCAAATTAGGTTGAAACCTGCAGCCCCAAATGTGCAACAAATGTACAATTGAGAGTGTGGGAAAGAACACACAACGGAGCAAACGGCCCACATGCACCTTTGTGCGGTTTGCACTCATTTCCTCCATCCATACGTTTGTTACACTTCAGCAATATTCTCTCACCACCTCTTACGCGAGGTGTCAGTCACGCACGCACACACACACGCACACACACACACACACGCACGCAGGCTTCGGTTCCCACGGTGGTGGGGGTGGCCGAGCGGCGTGTCAATCCGCGCACAGCGTCACCTCTTTTCACTCGCGAGAAAAAAAAAAAGAGGAAGTAGAGCGGTCCCTTTTGTTATGTCAAGTCCCACACAGTCTAGTCGTTTCAAAACAACTGCAATATATCCGCAGTTTATGATTTAAGAAGCCGATTCTAATCTCCTGCTCGACAGTTGTTCTAAATGAGGGGACAGACTTCCGGGTTGCGTTTGTGGGGCATTTGTGGTGCCATTTGCTTCCCCTTTTTTTTCCCCTCTCATCACACGCGGTTTCGTGTGCATTGGAATATACCCCCTCGAACATTTAACGACCTTAAACATTATAGTATAAACAAGTGATTCAAAGGTTGAGATATTCAACGTTTGCTTTGAACTTTTAATGTGTGCAAAATGGCAAAGTTTCCGGAATACAACAGCACTAAACGCGTCATTTGTCATGGAGGGAATGCCCGCATATTCGCACCCTTAATTCCGATTCGATTCATATTTCTATACACATTTACCCGGTTAGATGTTTTCATTAATATTTCTTAGACATTATGATGATTTTCTCAGTATTACTGACATTGGGTTCCATGAAAATAACTCACGGTGACTATATTATTGTTGTTTTGTTATAAATTGAGTATAGTTTCTTTTTTGACATGGGGTTCGATGAAAAGTAATCATAGCGACGAGTTCTTTATTGCGAGATAGATGTCGATATTCCCATATCGATTAGTTACATACATTATTAGAATGTTTTACAGCACTTATAACCACCGTAAAACGATAAAACAAAAAATGACAGGCTCATAGATAGATAGATCGTTTAACATGACAGCGTTTTGGGTAATGGGGGTCTCAGACAGGGAAGACCACGCCTCTCCCGCCCGCCTCGCCACTTGGAGAGCCGACATCAGCCTATAACCTCGCCGGGTTTCCACCCATTCCTCCACATTTGTTTCTCCCACCCACACCCCCTCCTCCCTTGTATTGTCATGCAAATAAAGGACGCGTAAAATATTCCTCCAGAGCTCAGCCACCAGCCGGCCAGAGCGCATTGAGGACGCAGCCGAGCAAACAGCACGCTGGTGGATTTTCTATCTTTTTTTTTGTTTGTTTTAGTTTAGTTTTTTTCTCTCTTTTATTCGGCGTCCAAGAAACGTCCGTCCCACAGGTAAGCTCGTAAAATTCATCCCGAATCCAAAGTTTCAGTGCGTAAAAGCCTTGCGCACGCGTTTGGATGTGGTGGAATGCGGTCCCGTGTCTGATCTCGGTTGGACTTTGTGCGCGTCTGTGTGTCCCGCGTTTACAGGCAGACTCTCGTATCAACGTCGGACGTGGACGTGGGGGGAACCAAAGAGGGAGAGAGGTCCGAGGTGTCCCAATAGAACACCACCCGCCGCTGCGAGGAAACTACGGACCGCCACGCCGCCGCCGCCACTCCGCGCAGCAAACGGGATCATCTACCTTGAGGATCTGTGTGTTTTCACTCATTTTTTTGGGGGATATACAAACAAGTGTGGCCAAGCGCGAGTGCCTTTCTAGACGGGATTACTGGGCGCCCTCCCTCCCCCTTCCCTTGTCCTCCAACGCAGCCATGAGCCAGGCGGACGTGTCCACATGTTCGGCCCCGCAGAGGGTCTTCCAGGAGGCGGTGAAGAGGGGTAACACCAAGGAGCTGCACTCGCTGCTGCAGAACATGACAAACTGTGAGTTCAACGTCAACTCGTTCGGACCCGAGGGCCAGACGGCGCTGCATCAGTCCGTCATCGACGGTAATCTGGAGCTGGTCAAGCTGCTGGTCAAGTTCGGCGCGGACATCCGGCTCGCCAACAGGGAGGGCTGGAGCGCACTGCACATCGCCGCTTTCGGGGGCCACCAGGACATTGTGCTATACCTCATCACCAAGGCCAAGTACTCCTCTGGGGCCCGGTGATCGCTCACTCCCAGCCTGCCTCCCTTCTTCCTCCCTTCTCTCTGCTGTGTGTCAGGTAAAAAAAAAAAAAAAAAAAAAAAAAAACAACTGCAGCTAAAAAAAAAATGCCGTGTACGAATAAAGATCAAACATAAACCACAGTAATTAAAAAAAATGATCATAAAATCAAGATCCTGCAGCGCCTCCTCTGTCTTTAAGATCATCCTGTGACGGTGCTTACAGTGTGTTGGCCGCCTGCGGTTCCGCTATCAACCTTTTGATGGTCTTGTCTGTTATGAAGTTCAGATTCCCCGGACGAGCGATAAAAAAAAAAGAGCGATATGCTCCCTTCACACTGGCGTTCAGGAGGTCCAGTTAGATTCTCTCTTGTTTTGACGGTGTTCATATTGTGTGACGTTGAAAGTAAATGCAAGAGAGAGGGACACGAGTCTCCACTGAACTGTGGCAACAAAACTCTCCACTCCATTGTCTCGTTCATGTGCCAAACATCAATTGGGCTGCATTGGAATCTTTCAATAACATACACTTAGTTTCTTGGTACTAAAGCAGGGGTGGGGGGCACTTGTCCTATCAGTCCTCCTGGCGTCATGCAAATGTCATGATTATTATGAGATACTCTTCAAATGCTCTTGGCTGGCTGCTAAAGGGTCCGCAAGCCGTAGGTTGCCCACCCCTGTCCTAAAAGCTTTCTTCTTGAATGTGTCTACTGTAGATGGTGCATTCCCCTCATTGTTTATCCCCCCCCCCCGCCCCTCCCATCTTCAATGATGCTCATCATTGTCCACTAAAACAGCCATTTTAACTTATTTAAAGTGAATTAGGGCACTTGATGCTGGAATATTTGAAAGGGAAGAGAACACAAAAGCAAGAAAAGGCAGATGTATTGTTTTGAACTCAAAGAGCGGCATTATGGCTATCCGATATGCTTTTTATGTTGTTGTTTAACCGTCATGCTGTAACAACAAATGGCTTCATTGTGTTTGTGAAGTACTGTACACGATAGCTTTACTTTGTTTCTGTCATTGTTTGAAGAGAGACACAAAACATTCAACTCACCATCATCCACGCTGGCGTCCAACCTTTTCAAGCCAGTCTGCCAACGGTCACTGTGCTGTTTCTTTAAAGGAAAAAAAAAAAAACAGCTGCTTTGTTTTAAAACAAAATAAAATGAGAAATTGAAATCACTTTATAAACTCATTTCAGTATTCTATTAAGATCCTCACTGTGAAAGCAGGCTGTTTTTTTTTTTTATTTTTGGTATATTTATGAAGGTACATTTTGATCGGGGGAAAAAAAAGAGAAAATGATCTTTAAATGTTAGAGGATGACTCAAGCTGCTTCAGTTTTTAAAAAATAAAATAAAAATAAATAACTGTCCCATGTGGAGGTATCCCCTCTGTGTGTGCCCCCCACCCCTCCTTGTCCCATTCCTCCCATCAGGATTGGTTGCCTTTTTGCCAGCTACCTCGACTTTTAAAGTATTCTCATGTTGTGCTTATGCCAGTATGTTGTTGTTTTGTTCCCCCCCCCCACCACCCCCACCCCCCAAAAACGATCCTGCACCCTCATTTGGGACAGTTTGTTTCACACTACAACCAAACCAGTTCAGACAAGCTAAGCATCAGTGTGCCTTTCTGCAATCTCTCCTTTTTGTGGGGTCTGTGGGGGGTGTTTTTTTTTTTTTTTTTTTTTTTTTTTTTTTTTTTTTACAGTCAAGGCAACAAGTGGAATGGCTTCTAAATGCAGGGAGTTTGAATTGCACAAATACACGGAGCCTTGAGCGCCTCTTGGCTTTGGATGGAAGAGTTACTACTACTGACTTTTTGAACAAACACACACACACAAAATCGCAACATGTGGCAATTGAGGGACTTACAAAGAAAATCCTGAAAGTTGCCAGCTGCATTAAAAAAAAAAAAGTCATGGCACCCTAACATTTGAATCAATGCTGCTTGTATTTTGTCATAATTATTATTATTGTTTTCTTTTTCAAAGGCTTCACACAGCAGCTTCATGGGAAGAGTGCGTGTTCTTTGAAAGTGTATGTTTCTCATGAGGCCCCCCCCCAAAAAAAAACACACACGCACACACAAAATACAGTAAACTAAAGCGATTGGATTGGTATCAGGCAACACATGAAATATGCATCGCTTGTCTTAAACTTGATGTTTCTTTTGTTTTTACTTGTTTTTGTTTGTTTCAATATTGCACTGATGACTGCTGTTGAGGTTGGCTTTTTTTGTGCCGACATTTAAGAATTTTTTTTCTGAACAGAAAAAAAAAAATGAACAGCAAAATACTATTGTATAAATATATGCTCCAGGTGATAAACGTGCATGTTACTTTGCGGAAATTTGCTTTTCCAGCAAAGATATGCGATTGAGTGTGTGTTTGTGTGTGTGTGTACGTGTGTGCGCGTGCGTGTGTGCGTGTATCGGATCTGATGATGATAAAACTTGGGGCACTTTCTTTTCTGAAGTGCTGTCTTCCTGTTTTTTTTCTGAAAGGGGAATAATACATTTGATGGTAAGATCATTGTAACGTGATTTAAAAATTGCACGATTGTGCGGTTGTCAGGCTTATCAGAGTCATAACATTTATGACGTAATGAGCCAGCCGCCGGAGTGGTGTACATGAGAGGAGTGTGTTGTTCTTTTTTTGTGAAGAAAAAAAAAGTGCTGAGTTTCTTTTGGGGAGGAGGGGGCGGGTGAGCAAGTTGTGTTTCAGATTTTTTTTCTTTTGCTTAATTTCAAGCAAGAGGACGAGGCTGATTGACCTTTTTTTTTCTGAATTTTATTTTGAATGTTTGTAACACTGTGATGATGACGTGATGTCACGTGGAGAGGAGTGCTGTATTATTTTTGTACGTTTGTGTACAAGCCAGTAAAGAAAACATTAAACCCCAAACTTTAAGTGTATGCATTTTTTTTCTATTGTCGTGAATGTACAAAAGTAGTCCGCTTTTCCCACAGAAAGCAACCTCCCCTACACGCACACCCACACACAAACACTCCTTTCGTTCGTCTTCCTCCTTGTCTTCCAACCAAGCAGGACCAACCCAGATCGCCATTCTCTCCCTTTTGTCATTCATCTGGCTTCATCCTTTCACTGCTAGCATAAAAGGGCCTGATGCATTTTGGGTAGGCTTCCCCTCCCTTGCCTGTGCTTTGGGAGAGATGGTTTTATGTTACCCGCACATTTTAGTCCCCTTGTGCGCTCTGCCGACGTTCTGTTCTGAACTAAGCCTTCCACTCATTGAATGATGATTACTTGCTTCTCGTTATGAGATAATTTATTTGGAGCAGAGGCTTAGCCAGAGTGGCCAGAGTGACATGACTTTTCACTGAGCGGTGGATAGAAGCCCAATTTTGCAAACTTCCTTTTCATTTTGTTGTACTTTGAGCGCATGTTCACTCCCCAACGTAGATACGACGGAGATGTGAATGCCATCCCTTATTTGAATGCTAAAAGCTTGTCGCTTTTAAGCTAGCACGAGAGACGACGCATTTGCCAAGAATCATTCTCGGAGTTGACAGGATCAAACAATTCTCTTCAATAAGGTCACGGGTCACGAATATTCATATGAACTCGCTTCTCCGAATTTATTCCCTTATATTCGTTCATGCTCTTGGTTCCCCGTATTGAAGTGGCTTTTCGTCAGCCGATGTTGTTAGCTTACACTTGCAACCTTGACTGAACAGGTATCGCAAATACTACCTGATTTTGTCACACTAAAACGGCATGCGTTTTAGACCTGGAGCTATAAAGTGGGCGTGAAGGGTGTGGAGTGAAGCATTTTCATCACTTTTCCCAATGAAAGCTCAGTATGACAAATTCTGTGATGTGGGGGGAGCCGTGGGAAAAAAAAAAGACAACATGACAAAGCACCCGTCTAGACGTTGAACCCATTAGTGGTGTAAAACATGCGCAGGCGTTGACTGACGGTTTAAAAAAAAAAAAGTTACATCTGGAGCCTGACAGCTTTCTGTTTGATATTGTTTACAGTAAAGCAGTTTACAGTCAGCATTTGATCCGGCCCGCCACACATATAGCATTCACCCTGACATTTGCACCTGAGGACAATTTTGAGTCATCCATCGACTCGAACATGCAAGTTTGTGCAAGGTGGGAGGAAACGTGGCAAGAAAAAAAAAAAAAAAAAATCAAAACGTGAAGGCCTGAGTTTGGATTTGAACTGTGCTCCTCTCTCAATAATCATTTGAATTTCAGGAGCAGCACGCCCCCAGAGGAAGTGGAATGCCTCGAAAAAAAAAAGTGTTACAGGGACAGTGCAGGACATCCTGAGCTATTTTTAAGCGGCTTGACCTGCAGTTGAACCTCAAACATGCGACTGTCATGCCTCTTGCTGCGCTACAGGTACACAAATGCAGGAAAGTTATTTGATTTTGACATTGCAGCCCGCTGTTGTCTCTCTCTCTCTCTCCCTCTCACTTGTGCAGGAGGTTTTTGTTGAGCTGGGATCTCATTGTCCACATCGCAACTTGGCTGGCTGGCCTCCCACGGTTGCTGCTTGCTTCTTGCTTCTGCTGGCTGCTAGTTCCTATAGCCGCACCCCCCATTAATGGCTTCTTCATGTGCATCCTGCGTGAGCCAGACAGACAACGCGAAGCATCTCGGGAGAGAAGAAGCAGCTGAAAGTACATAAAGGGATCAACAGGGGTGAGCCCAGCGCCGCAAAGTTCTTGTACTAAAATGAAGTTACTGTAAGCGGGGGGGCTTTTTTTCATCCCACCGCCACCTATGCGACGATCGTCAATGGTACACAGAATTATCAGTGGTACACTAAAACACTTCAACATAAATAAAACGCATCAGCATCACCAGAGATGTGAATATTTAAATGCGTTTTGCAAGTTTCTGGCTTGTGCTAATCAATCAGTCAGAGGATGAAAAATGCTGACGCTGATCCTGTGAGCCAAATTTGAAACCCGATTGGTTAAAGAAACAACCCCATTGATGATAGAGTTTAAAGTACATCGGTGAGCACGACTGATTCAATCTAATCTGCCCCTGGGCAGATTAGATTGACATGGCAACATATAAAGGCTGAAATCTGATTGGACGAAAAAAAAAATCTGACCCCCACCAGACAATGGACTACTGGGAATAAACGAATCCAATTCCTTGCTGGCCCTGGCATCCCGCCACTGGTGAGATGGATGCTGCCACAGCAGCTGCAATGCAAACAAGTGTGTGATAATCTCCAGCGTCATCGTCGGGGCCCCCCCTCATAAAATATTCATCGCCGCGCTCAAAGCATCTCACATGATAAGTGTATCATGCAAATGAACACTCAATTCCTCATTTTCTAACGGCGCCCGTTCAACTTTGTCAACCTCGGTCCCTGCTTTGATTGCGTGATCCCTCATGCCACTTCCTCAAAGTCACTGACGGTTAGCACAAAAGCGCGAGTGTGCGGTTGGCGAAGTCGTGCGAGAGTGTAGTGGAAAGCCGCAAGGAGGAACTCGAATCAAGTCTTTCTCATCGCTTCAGTTACACATCATCGGGGTCATTCGGTGACACTGCGCAATCGAATGACAGCTGCACCGACAATTGTGCTTGCACAAGGATAATCATGCGTTGTTTTGATTTAAACGGGGCAGATTGCACATTTCGTCACATTTTGAAACAGTTCAGAGATCTTTTCATAACATGTATGTCATGTATGTTTTTTTTGGGACGTTGTTATAATGGTTATAATTTAACTGATTTTACGATAAGGCTGTAAGCATAGCAAAATTTGGGAGAAGCAAGCAACAAGCAAGCACAGGTGTCAAACTCAAGGTCCGGGGGCCAAATCCGGCCCGCCACCAAAAGCAAATCAAACCTGTCAATTTCCATGATGCTCGCTAAAATCTGGACCAAAATTTAAAATTCTCATCAGTAATAAATAAGAAGGATATTGTAAGCATTTTCTTGGAACCAAATCCCTCATGAAATTAACTTAAGAGTCAATTCAACAGTTATTCTTGACTTCTTTATATGGTTTCAGTCATAACGGCCCTCCAAGGGAAACTAAAATATGGCCCACGACAAAATGAGTGCGACCCGCTACCAAATGGACCGTGCCCGGTACCGGTCCGTGGACCGGTAGATGGGGACCATTGATTTAGTGCACTAATCCTCAGCGGTTCTATTTATCACACAAACGATGGTGCCCACTGCATCGTAATGAACTTGCTGATGGTGCACTTTCTCTGCACAAACAAAAACATGTCTGTGGTTCCCCCACCCAACTACCAGCATCCCTGCCACAGTCTGCTCGGATGTAAGACTGGGAGTAAAAACATAAAGCGGGAGAGACAGGTGGTCAGGATGGTCTCTCCCTCGCCCCTTCGCTCCTTTTTGAACTCCTCTTTCATTCTGGCACTTCATTCTGTGCTTCTCTCCACGGCGTTGGTGACAAGGCGCTCCATTCACGGCCTCATTCTTACCCCCCCCCCCTTTCTCCCAGAACCCCATCTCCCCTCCTGGTGCACCCCGACCTCGTCCCCCCTCCCTGGTAGCTCCATTGTCTAGCTCGTGGGGGCCTGCTTTAGTTGCTATTCACCAACCAGACGGACTGCCATTGACATATGCACACAGCAACCTGGCCAGTACCCACCCTGCAAGCTTGCATCAGGCAGCTGCTATGCTAATAGGGAGGTAGATCCCCGGCTGGA